GTACCAGTATGTAATATTAATTTGTATCATTAATTGATTCTGATTATTAACATATGAAATTAAATGTATTTATTTATATACTGATGTGACTATAGTAAATATGAATTCCAAGTACTATAATTGATAAATTTTCATGTAAATCAAGATTTGCATTTGAAGGTGTGGATTTGCATGAACATGTTAAATTGTGATTATGTATATATATATATACAGTCAAACTTCGTTATCTCGAACCTGATGGGACTGAGAAAAAACTTCGAGATATCTGAAGATTCGATCTCAAAGGTTAAAATTTTTAATACTTAAAGAATATGTGGTTGGGAATTCCAGATCACTTCGACATATCCATGGTATAGAATATGGTTTTCCAAATTTCCACTGAGATAATTTAAGCAAGAGTTATTCCCCATGGCCACTTGGTTGCTCAAAGAGAAAAATTCACTGCTCTGCCCTACAGGATGGCGGCTAAGCGGAATAACTTCTAGGCAAAATGTCAAAGGAAAACCATCTATTTGAGATACCAAAGTTCAACTGTAAATATAAATTTTAAAGGAGCAAACCAAAAAAAGACAAAAAACTTTTAATGCTGCCTGCTTGAAGTAACATGTTGGTTACCTTAATTAGGATATTTGCATGTTTCTTCAAGCAGGAGGTTCCAAGCCCTTTAAAGCAGAGGAAAAGTTTTGGTATTATATATGTTTGATTGACATATTACTGTATGTATGCTCAATTAATGTTGACACAACTCAGATCATGATATTTTTTATCATTGGAAAATATATTAATCAATTTGACATGTACGATGCAATATCAATTTGTTACTTCACTATCTAGCTGCTCTGCTTTTGAAGTGAATGTTGCGGGTCCTTCAGATTAAAAACCAATGTCCGGCCCATATGTCACTTGCAGGAGTTAAACTGGCACGATAAAGGATCCCTCAACATCATGCACTGCTCAATGCCAATGACTGTTTGAAGCCCTTCACCAGTATATGGTACATGACAACTCTATGTATGAATGAAAAATTCTTAATATTAAGAGGAATTAACCTAAAACAATTAACATACAATCAATCAATCAAAAGTTATTAATATTAATTGGCATATTGCATGAGGTTAATTTAGTTTTTGCAGACAATTAACATATCAACAGACAGACAGACAGACGGACTAACATGACAAAACCTTTATCCTGAATCTTTGATTTCTTACTTTGATTTTCAATGTTTGAAAGCCGGGAACAATTAATAATGTAGGAGGGGTTTGAAACAGCGCTCTAATCATGCTTGTAGAAATGATCAGTGTGTAACGTGATGGAAAGCTAACCCGAGACCTTCTGACAAACGCCTTGCAGAATAAGTCCAGGTACGATCTACTTTTCTATTTTATCAAGAGTTGTCTACCTTATGAAACGCAAAAAAGAAAGTAGACTAAATATTCGTCGTGGTTATGGATTTCCAGAAATCTGAGTTTCTTTTTCCATGAAAGCATATAACAGGCATTTTGAAGCAGGCATCCTTATTTTCTTCACCTTTAATGTAAGTGATAAAACTTAAAAACAGTTGTTACTTCTGCTGCATATGTGATGCCAACCAGTAGTCTGGTCCTGATTTTTAAAAAGAAGGCTAGAAATAACTTCTAACGGCAAATAATTATTATTTGGTCCAGCATAGTTTTTTAACCTAATTCGAGTATGCTGAATCCGAAAAAATATGCTGGCCTTCATGAAAATGGCGTTAAAGAGTTTAAAATGGCGATTCAAAATGGCGGACATCCAATTTTTCTAATTTTCTCTTGATGTCGTTCAAAATAGAGAAGTAATGAATGAATATGTAACTGAGTGTAATAAAACTATAAAAAGGATAATAGAATGCTAACATTATTAGTTTAACTCAGAAAATTTGGTCATTTTTACACTTAATTCGAATTTTCTCTGATTAATTTGTCTATTGTTCTACATTCTGCTTTGTTCAGGATTTTACATTTGCAAATATCCATACACTGCAGATTTGTATTTTTTTCCTCTGCATCTCACTATTCTACAATTAAATGATGGTGCAGCTGTAAGTTAAAAGTCAAAATGGCGATTCAAAATGGCGGATATTCATTTTTTTCTTCAAATTATTTCTTAATGTCGTTTACATAGGAGAAAGGATTCGTGAATATCTTACCGAGCGTAGTACAACTATGTAAAATGCCAAAAGAACACTAATTTTATCACTTTAGTTCGAAAAATTTAGTCGTTTAAATTTGAAATGTATTAATTACCTCAAAATGGCGATTCTAAATGATATCATATGAACTCGAATTTCGTAAAATACCCCAAATGCTTAATTCTGATTCGTTTTGCAGAAAATAAGTTAAAGTTTGGTTTTTTTTAATTTATGAAATAATGTTCAAATATGCAATGAAAGTTGGAGGATATTTTTGTTAATGACTTAGGATTTTTATAACATGGACTTTTGTTTAATATACTTCTATTATTAAGATAAATCTTTGACGAAAATTCCGAAGACATTTTTACCTATTACCTGTTTCACCATGCTTCTTCATATAAAAAGTTAATAATATCATACAGTAATTGCTGTTTTGAGGACAATTAAGCTATCCCAAGAGCAGTATTCCCCGAGTATTAAGGCGAGTGAACATTGTAGTTTGAGGGTTGCTAAATCATATCAGTTATTGGAAATTCTTGATCTATTTTTAGTCCAGTCAAGAAAAAAATAAATGTTTCTGTTCATGTGGAAGGTCCAGTACAACATAACTTAGTATGATTTTTAAAATGATAGACCACGACCAATTAGAGGGCTGGTAATTGTTACATAATATAAATCTGAACATATTATAATATCCAAATTAAAAAATTTATTAAGATTTATCAGTATAAAATACGTAAACCATAATTTTCATGATTTTCCAGCACTGATTCTGTGTCCCTACATTTGCATTTTGTTATTCTCCGTCAAAAATTCAACTGCATTCTCAAATATTTCATGTTGTGAATGGATAATATTGTATTGAACAATGTATATAAATTAAAAAAAATTGAAATTTCCAAAATTTGGAAGAAGAAAATGATTGAGTTCAATTGATCCCACTCTATTCTTGATACAACCTTACACTATCCTAAAAATAGAAGTGTTGATCAAGTTGACTTGTACATGTAAAGTTCTTAAAGTGTTCAAGAAAATTTTGTTGTCAAGATAAGTGTTGACTAGATCAAAGTCAAGAATGGCTTAGACCTATTGGTACGAAAGCTTGTACGTGTTAGGAATCACGAGGAATCTGCAGGCGCTCTTGCATTGCATAGTTATACAACTTTTCTCACCAAAATATGCACACAATGTGATTCCATATGATAAAGTTTGAGAATTTTCTTGCTAATAGAATAACCTTTCTACCCTAAAAGACAACAAATCTATACGCGGTCTCAAAATAAAGAGCTACATGTCTTGAATATCAGAGATTTGTTTTATACCCCCCCCCCCCTGCTTGAAAAGCGGGAGGGTGTAGAGTAATCGGTATGTCCGTCCGTCCGTCTGTTACGCTTTGGGGTACCCATCTTTTATCCGCAACTCCTCTCATACCACTGAATGCAATTTGATGAAACTTTCACAGAATTTTTATTACATATTACCATTGTGCACCTCCTATTTTACTTTTTGATCTGACACATATTTTGGGTTTTCCGGCCACAGCAAAACATGGACTTTGCCATTATAACTATATGGAGGCGGGGGTATCATTTAGTGAGCTCTTCGCTCACAGTACCTCTAGTTTTGCATAAGGTTTGGAAAACACAATATACTGTTAACATTTGAACATAAATGTTTGTTCTTTGAGTGTTGATTGATTATTTGTTTATTGTTTAACGTGAGTCAGCAATTTTTCAGTCATGTTTCGGCGGACTGTCAGTTTAAATAATCGGTTTTAGAAGGATTTGGTTTCTCTGGCGGCCTCCAGTGAGCTTACTCTTTTTCGAACACCAGAGAAATGATCTTTTACGTGCCAAGGGGGTCATTTTACTTGAGTGTTGAAAATACCAAAATTCCCAAGACAGACTGAAACATATGGCAAATAAAGCTGGAATAGAAGATGTTAGGGGACAATGCTAAGTTCTTATATGTGCTAATTTCATAAGCTAGTACAAAGTGTTCGATGAAATTGGACAAGAATTTCTTCAGTTATATTTGATGGTGTGCTGAGGGATGTTGATAAGAAGTGTGAGTTGATAATGACAGCGATTCAGGAATGATTTTAGGTGGATGGGGGCTCAAAGACTTTGGAACACGGTCAAATATGAGGGGGGAAATTTGGAAACTCTTAAGTCGAGTTTATTTTAACTATTTCCAGAAAAAAAAGAATCTTTTCTAGTATTTTTTGTTTCTTCATATTTAATGGACTAATCAATATACTATATATATAAAAAACAAACTGTAATTTATTTTATGCAAAACAGCTTAGAATTAAGCAGTTTAAGTATTTTACAAAAGTCAAGTGAATATGACATCATTTAGAATCGCCATTTTGAGGTAATTAACACATTTCAAATTCAGACGACTAAATTTTTCGAACTAAAGTGATAAAATTAGTGTTTTTTTGGCATTTTACATAGTTGTACTACGCTCGGTAAGATATTCACAAATCCTTTCTCCTATGTAAACGACATTAAGAAATAATTGGAAGAAAAAAAATGAATATCCGCCATTTAGAATCCCCATTTTGACTTTTAACTTACAGCTGCACCATCATTCAATTGTAGAATAGTGAGATGCAGATGGAAAAAAGTACAAATCTGCAGTGTATGGATATTTGCAAATGAAAAATCCTGAACAAAGCAGAATATAGAACAATAGACAAATAAATCAGAGAAAATTCGAATTAAGTGTAAAAACGACTAAATTTTCTGAGTTAAACTAAAAATGTTAGCATTCTATTATCCTTTTTATAGTTTTATTACACTAAGTTACATTTTCACTCATTACTTCTCTATTTTGAACGACATTAAGAGAAAATTAGAAAAATTGGATGTCCGCCATTTTGAATCGCCATTTTGAACTCTTTAACGCCATTTTCATGAAGGCCAGCATATTTTTTCGGATTCAGCATACTCGAATTAGGTTAAAAAACTATGCTGGACCAAATAATAATTATTTGCCGTTAGAAGTATTTTTTTCTATAAATCGGACCAGACTACAGTGTTTTTGTGTGACTTTTTTTTTTAAATAAATACGAATAGTTGTTATAGTTCTATTCCTTGAACATGACAACCAGTCAAGAACTTAATTTTATTTTAATACATTTTGAGAAGATGGTCTGCAGTGTACTTGTTTAATCGTCAAGTTTTAAATCGTCTATATGCCATATTCCTTAAAAACATTGCAAGAAATCATGACTTCAGTTTACAAGTGTACAAATTTTTAGGTTACTTGTACTGTCAAGACGAAAACTTTAATGAATTATTGCTAACAATGAATTCGATATGTACCAAATTTATATGGGAGGTAAATTGATTTTTTAGACTTAAGTTCCTATACCGTCAGTGGGGATACCATGCAGTAAGCCAGTAACCCATGTCTCAATTCTAGGTCCAATGGGAAATTTCTTCAGAAAGGTACATGGCTCATTATACAACTGTTACTATTTGTTTTGGTTAAAGTGAGTTACTCATTTAGCATCCTTGCAATGCCAGGAGGCTGGAGTCAACATGTTGCCGTTGGACCCCTGGCAAATTTAATTCAATGTTCGTGGGCTTACTGCAGTGGCGTCTTTCAGAAAATGACAAATCTTGATTCCTTTTCTTATCTCTCAACAATCACATTATGCCATTCTATGATAATCAACTTGTATTTAATGCATTTGAGGTTTCAGCTGAATCCTTTCTGTTTTTTACATTTAACTATTTATGAAAGATTTAATTTGATTGGTGCTTCTCAAAGAGAGAAGACCTAAAACCCACAAATATTGAATGAAATTTGCTTAACGGACTCCGACCCTCAGCCAGGAAGGACAAATCTTTAATTTATAATTTAATTCAAAAAGTGTTTAAATGAAGCTTGAACATTAAATCTTTTCATTATATGCCTCTCAATGTGCTTCAAGGTTCTTTGAACTTCTCAGAAAGGTCTAATTAAAAGTAGAAATTTTTATCCCGTAAAAGCATTTTTAGATACCAATGTTTATTAACATGATATGAAATTAGAAGTGATTTATGGAGCTTTGCAAAGAACCTTGAAGCACGTTGAGAGGCATATAATGAAAATTGTTGCATGAAAATATTTAATTTTCAAGCTTCATTTAAAGACTTTTTGAATTAAATTATAAATTAAAGAGTTGTCCTTACTGGCTGAGATTCGGAGTCCCTTAAGGGATCAAAGAGCAAACTTAAATTATCTTCATTTGAAGAGTAATAATGATAAATTTTTCAACTGTGAAATGCAAGAAATTTTCAAAAAAAAAGTTTACTATCATTCCAATAACAGCTAGCCTGTCACTTTGCTTGATCGACCAAAGCAAAATTTCACAAACTTATTACCATATAAAACATAGTTTGGATGTTTGATTTGAATGAAATCAATGCTACTTTGCATATGAAATACAGAATCCAACAATATCCCGACAACACTGGCCAATCATATTGAATGATTGTTTACCATTATGCGGCATTTATGTCAGCAGTAACGTGTTTTCAGTGAAAGCATGTTTTCTGTCCTCATAATAGCACATGTCAAATCTTTGTTGTGATTTGACCGAATGGAGTTAATACGTATGAGAAAATTAAAAGGATGAAAGAAGTAAGGTTATACTCTGCTACTATTATACGATATAGTGATCAATATAACCTTTTTAAGGATTAAAATTGCTTTGCCTGTCCACAAGCGATTATTGTTTACAGCATTCTCGTGAACAACGATTGGTCAGTATTGCAATTGGTATTGTTGGGTTATGTATTTCATATGCAAAGTCGAATCGTTTTCATTGAAATCAAACATCCAATTGCATAGTAATCAACTTGTATTATCCTGCTCGATCAAGCAAAGTGACACACTGTTACATGTACTGGAATGATCGTAGATATGTACTTTATCAAAGTGAGAGAGTGAATATTAATTCATTAATGCTCCACAGATTCATAATAGTTATATTCAAAATATGAAAGTAATCTATCAAGAAAAAAACGATATGACTGATTGAAATATCTATTTTTCTTCATTTGCAGCTGAAGGCATTCCTGATGGCTGACGCAAAAGAAGATGAAGGTAGGAAAGTATTTAGTATTTTTATGATTTTTGAAATTTACATTTTAGTGTAGATTAAAGCCAGTTTTACTTTATTATGAGCATAAAGTCAGTGTACATAAATATTAAATTGAAATCAGTTTATAAAGAATTCAGAATAAAGTGCATGCCATAGAAATTTACCTACTGCCTATTGGAGGGGAAGGGGGGCTTAATTTTCTTTTCATCTTGTGAAAGTTTTGTAGGTTCTTACCTTTGAGAATTGAAACCTTTTTCTGAAACCATCAATGATGTATTTGATCAAAAGCTACTAAGAAGGTGTAATGTTTGAAGTGTTCAATTTTATTTTATAGGAAAATATCAGTACCCAAAAACTTTGGAGGAATTTGGCTACTACTTTAACAAAGGTAATTTTTAGGTACATTGAAACAAGCTCATAGCAAACATGGTTATAATGAATTAACACTTAAAGTAAAGCAATTTTCATTCCCCATGACTTTAAAATAGATAGCAAATTACGCCTACGTCATTAGCACTTTGTTATAGGAGTGTTTTTACTGTACACAGAAGTAGTGCCTGTACATAGGATGATGTTTTGCAAATAATAATAAAAAATGTTTGTAAGCATTCTAGGTTAAATAATTTTGAAATAATTACTAATATGGTTATGGTAAAATCAGTTTTCATTCATATACATACAACATTAGTATTGTAAGGTTACAAGTAAACTATGGTATTTTTTAAATGTATTTTAATATCATCAACTTTTTCTCCCTGTATAGCTTTTAATTTTTCTTCAGATGGAAAGTTGAGAGATGTGAAAACAGAGGAGCCGTTCAAATTTGTAGTGGATGAAGACAATCATAAATACAACCAGAAGAGATATGAAGCTTTAGGCAATGTAAGAATATTATTTATAAATAAATGCAGTAGACTAATTAACATAAATATTTTATATAGACTTAAGTTTTAGTCTCTTTGGCTGCTATATCAAATTTGATATGATTAGATGGCAAGATAAATGATTATAAAAGAATGCACTTTGGTACACTTGTTATAATGATTTGGTCTAGAAGGAATATGATAAGTTTGCATGGTGAAGTCAAGAGATACAGATCACTGAGTGTAGGTCATTTGACTTATTTTGATTTGTTTTACTTTACAGATAATAACTGAATATGTGTATCAATTACTAGAAGACAAACATAATCTAAAGAAATTCACAATTCCAGTGAGTATGACAACCAAATGCATGAATATAAATGGGGTTTTTGAGTTAAAATTTTCACACTATCGTGATGTATGAAAAAATGATATAAAATTTGTGAAAGATGACTGTTTAGCAATCTTCGTTGAGAGCATATTAAGCATTGTCCATTATTCCTTTGACAATCAGATTACTTTTACCTACTTCTACCTACTGTATTTTCTGTGTTGTGTACAGGTGGATGCGGAGCCTGATGAGCCCACTTCTTTCTTCTACATGTCTGAGGATGCCCTCGACAAAGACAAACTTCTGATCCTGATTCATGGCAACGGAGTGGTAAGAGCAGGACAGTGGGCCAGGAGGTAGGTTAGGGGTCAGGTTACATTTCATAGGGAATTGCTGAAACATTTCCCTGATTCTTCAGGATCCCTCAATCTTTTCATTTTACAGTCATATTTACTGGTAAACAAAATAATCAATTTCAGGATGTTGTACAATTCAGCTGTTTAATGTTTGTTGAGATCATGAGATCATATTTATTTTGGCCAATTCAAGTCTTCCTTAAATTGTTAGGTGCTCTGTGCCCCTATTAGATTCAGCAAATAAATTGTTGAACATTAGCTGCTTAGATATATGAAAAAAAAGTATTTCAGAATTTGTGATATTTTACAGACTGATCATTAATGATTGTCTGGACTCGGGGACACAGCTTCCTTTCATTGACTGGGGAATCAAGGAGGGATATGGAGTAATTGTAGCCAACACTAATTATAACAAAGCTAATGATGACAACGATGGTGAGGAAATCAAGGTAAGACATGCAATTAAACATTCATCTAATGCCTAACAAATAAAGCAAGAGTTTGCTCCCTTTAATGCATTTTTCCCAGTTGCGCGACTTGTAGATTTCACATTTCCAAGCAGCAAAAATTTGTGCAAAATTCTACAATCTTAAACTTTAAGTTCAAAAATTGAGTTTGATATTTACTGATAAAATATAACAAATTTCTATAGTGAACACAGTTCAAAATCAAATCAAATAAACATCCTCAAGGTTCACAACTGTTGTATTTTATAGTCTTGGTTGGAATAAACACAGGAGTTCGCGTACCTATCAATTATACCGAAATTTTCATTAAATAAGAAAATACGTAATATGTATAATAATAACATTATATAATAAATAATATTTTTCCTTGACAGTGCAGTGAAAGTCCAGAGGATCACATGGAATGTGTATGGAAAAATTTTGTACAGAAATCTAAAGCTAGTGCCATAGGGATAGTGGCTCACAGTTACGGCGGAGTTGTCACACTTGATCTGGTAGAGATTTAATACATGTATTTATTGAAAATAATATTCAAACTTATTATTGTAAATTAATTTGGAAAGGGTAGATTATTGATAGAGACAAAGACAACAGGGATTTAATTGACACTACCTGTATTTAAGGCACTTCTGACCAACCCTGTCTTGCAAATGAGTGGTTCGGTCATGTAGAGTGTACATGAACTAGATGGATAACTTGTGTCATAAAATAAATGTTAAACTACATTTCAATCTTTCACATAAATAATCTAAAATCTTTCAAAAAAAAAAAAAAAAAGAAGAAATCTCTTATTTCTCCTAAACCATAATTGTGTGAAGAAAAAATCCTGCATGACACAAGTTTAGTGTTGAAACTTCTGTAATCCATTATTTTAAAATATGGTATATAAAAAAGTTACACATAGTATAATTTTGAATTAATTTTAACAATAATTATTCTATTAAAGTTTGTTGAATGTTCCTTAAGGCTTATACATGTAATACTTGAACGTCTCGATGAACTCAACTCAATTGGCTGGGATAAATATTTTATGAAAAACTTCAGAATGATGTAAATCATTTACACCATCTCTATCTATTCAGGCTATTAGCCACATAGATGAGTTTTCTAAGCGAGTGTTTGCTGTGGCCTTGACAGACTCGGTCCACAGCTTTAGTCATCAGAACGGAGATGAACGGGTCATCGAGTTCTACAGACAGGTAAGACTTTGAAAATAAAGTTCCCTAAGATTTGAAAATTATATAATAGTATTTGTTATAGATTCCACAGCAATCACAGTTACATAGAAGACAATATTAGGATTAGTAAGTTTGATTTAAAATTCATTTTTTGAAAAAAAGATCATATTTACATTCTAACAGAAAATAAACTGATAGCACTTTTAAGTGTTTTTCTTTAAAATTACACATTGTCGTCTTGGTAACTTGCTAACTTCTAACTCCTTTGACATTTACAGCGTGGTAAGAACTGGGCCTCGTGTCTGGATGAGTTAGACACCCCCCTAGAGAGCCAGTCAGATTTCTGTCCCACGGTGGCAGCAGGTAAACTTCTGTAATCAGTTATTTCTTTGGGTTAATTAATGAGTTCTGCACTTTTCAATGAATTGTACTTGTCTCTACATATATGTATCCTTCAATTCTTTTAAGTTTTCTCTAGAATTAAATTTTTACTGTAGATTTAATTATACTACATAGAAGAGCTGATATGCCATACATATCTCAATATTTATTCAGTCAAATCTTTATTTAAATTAAATGATGGAAATAATTGTTCCATTCAGGTACAGACAAACATGAATATACCAGCTACAGCAGCATGCAGTCCATTTTTAAATTTTTGTCTGAGAAATACAAAGAATTGACAGAACCTTCAGAGGAGGAGAAAGAAAAGACAGAAAACTCAGAAAACATGGCCTCTACAGAGAAAGGTTCAGAAGAGGAAGTGATGTCACAGGATGTAACAGCCAGTCAGATTGATGTAGAGATGAACTCACAAAATCCTGAAGAAAGTATGAAAGATGAACTGTGATTGATCATTGATGACTTGTGTTAAATATTTGTGAGATTTTTTTTTGAGCATTAAATTATATAATTAATTGCATTGCTTTATGTTTAGTTTCATGCATTTTCATACTGTGTGATGTGACATAACTTTACATTTTGTCAGGAATTATTTGACACTGGCATTTTTCTTTACATTTCAGAGCTTAAAATGGATGTATATATTATTACAAAATACATTGTGTTTATTTGATAATACATATTGTTCTTTAATATAGAAGTATTTATGTAAATATTTGTAAAAAAAAAAAAAAAAAAAAAAAAAAAAAAAAGAGAGAGAGAGAGAGAGAAAATTTTTGTATTTAACGAAAAATAAGTTCTGCTGTTTTTGAGAAATAGTATAATTCTTAAAATTGAAAATTAAATAATTTAATTTGAAAAAAAGGATGATAACTAATCTTTAAAGACAAAAATCAATACATCTCTATTGCTTTTGGAAGTCATCTGTGTGGTGTACTATATTATCTACACACTTTTTCAAATGATTGGATTGAGAAACATGCATGTTAAATGCAAACCTTTTGTTAATTCTTGCTTTGTGTCAGGAATTTTTTTTTATCATCTCGTGTCACTTGTGCAGACCGGGGGTCTGAAATGCATGAAATTACTTGTACATGTAAATTTTTCCATGTATGACCATTACCATTACTTTCATTTTAGAAAGTAATTAATAAAATCATGATTACTTTTCTAAA